TTTGAAAGTCTAACTTTAGTTTCTGTCAAGGAATTTTGCCAGCTTTCAATGGAGTTTTTAATTTCCTGGTGATCTCTTTGGATGTTTCATGTAATCTAGATTTTGTTTATATTCTTCACAAAAGTTTTCTCTCTTTTTCCTGGGTCCCTCCATTCTTCCATCTGTGTCTTCTTAAGAGGTGCTTAGCATTTCTTTTATTAATTCTTTTATATCTTGCTTCACTTGAATTAGAATTTCAGTTTTAAGTTTGTCTATGAGGTCATGAAGGTATTCTCTTTTTTTTTGGTACCAGGGATTAAACTCATGATCTTGTGCTTGCCAGGCAGGCACGTAGACCGCTGAGCTAAATCCCTGGCCTCGAAGGTATTTCTTTATGTCCGCTGATGCTGTGCCCAATATTGCATGTTTGTTGCCCTCGATCTCTTCTGTATTTACCTCTCCTGGACTTATTTTCCCTGGGTCAGTGGCTGGAGGCTTTTTCTTGTTTCTTTCTCTTGTCATGTTTCTGGTTTCATTCGGACAGGTGTATGGTGGAGGTCTCAGGACCTTTCTGTATTGCTTATGGTTTTTCTGAAGCGTGCTGGCTAGGGGACTGCTGCCCTCTCCAGTTTGCTGTTGATCTGTGAGGTGCACGCAGGGATAATGTGGGCTGGCCCCTCCCCTCTGAGTCAGTCAACCAGCGAGTGCCTTCAGCATATTAGTTGTGCTGTGTAAATGTCACAGGTTCAGGACAGTTTCTGTCCCTGGCTAATGGGTCCCAACCAGGGGCGTGATGCAGCCCAAGCAAATCCCACCAGCTTGCTTTGGGCCAGGAGCAGGCTAACTGATACCACTGCGGTGCCAGGTTCAGGCCAACTCCAATATGTCTTCCAGCTGGTCACCCCCTCTGCGGGACCAGCTCCCTAGCACTCACCACAGGTTAGTGCAGCTCTCCATGTTGGTTCCACTACCACAACTTCAGCGGGACCATGAACCGCCTGACTCCAAGGTGCACCCAGCACAGCGCGGGACCAGCTCCAGTGAGAGTGTTGTAGTCTTTCATATACGCTTTTCCTTCCTTCCTTTCTTTTTTTTTTCTTTTTCTTTTTCCTCAGTTTCTTCCTGGGTTGTGAGAATCCCTCTCCTTTCATCTGGTCTTCTCCATGGTGCTAAATTCTAGCATCTGAGTTGTTTTTCTCAGAAAAACAGGCTCTCTACCCTGCTCCCTATCAATCTACCATCTTCCCAGGATCTCTTTCTTCTCTTTTTCACTGAGGTCACTGAAGCAGAAGAAAACTTCTAGTCTACTAGAGCCACATGCACCCTGCATCCAGCATGTGCTCCCATAGAAAGTCTCTTCTCCTGCAGTCCGTGCTCTACAATGGACTCTAGCTTGAGTATTATTGCTAAGTAGGGGGATGATGTCACTGCAATGTGGAAATTGGTTTGGCTCATAATGACCTTCATCTCTTAGCATATTAGTGTTCGGTGTCACTAGATAAGAGCAGCTGACTATGAAGGGCGCCAGTGGAAGGAATGAACAAGCAAGCGGTAGAATAAAGTACTTTCTGTCGAGCCCACATCACATGTGTTTCTTGGTTCAGTTTTGCTCAGGTTCTGCCTGAAAATGCTTGTTGTAGGGCTGGGGATATAGCTCAGTGGCGCAAGCACTTGCCTGGCAAGCATGAGGTTGTGAGTTTGGTCCCCTCTATGAAAACAAAAAAAAAAAGAAAATCTTGTGAACACTGCAGCCTCTACCCTTACTACCCCTTACTTATGCCCAGTTCTATTACGGTGTCTTTGTTCATTTGCTGGAAAGGGGAAGTCCATTGTTTATTTTTTTTTTAGTACTGGGAGTTAAAACCAGAGTCTCTGCATTATGTACTCAGCCCCCTTTTAAATTTTGAGATGGGGTCTCTATAACTCATTAGGCAGGGCTTGAACTTATGATCCTTCTGCTTTAACCTCTCAGAGCACTGGGGTTACAGCACGCTTTGCAAAGTCCTATATTTACCGATGTATTTATTTATTAGGGATAATATACATCTTTTTAACTGTGCAAATATACTTTTTCTTTCCATTTTCAGAGATGAGGCCTTAGTATATTGCTCAGGCTGGCCATGCCTCAGTTTCCCAAGTACCTGGGACTGCAAGAACATGCCACCTTAACCAGATATTATGTTTAGTAAGATTAATGCTTGGTTGCTCAGGTTTCAAAAAGCTTTGGGATGGTCTGCTCAGGCCAAGTATTTTTAAGAGCATGAATTTGAAAATAAAACAAATTTCAGGAGCATAATATTTATCATATTATAGCAGAAATGTCTGTATGTTGCTTGCCCACCCATAACTATGGAAAATTTTTCCATGTTCTTACCTAAAACTAATTTCTTCACTGGGGGACTACATTCCATCCTTTATTCAAGGATGTTGCTCTAACATTTCCTCCATTTTTATCAGTTTTTCCTATTTTATCAAATGGTCATCTTTCCAGACACATCTTTTTACATTATATGTATGCTTGCTGCTACTCCAATTAAAAATATTCTCTTGATACCACATTCCTTAGCAACCTACTGCTCGTATTTCTTTGCTCCTCTTCAACACAAAACTAGCTGTAAGAAAAAATTAACTTTAGAAGCTGCAAATACGTATATATGTATTTATGATAGATAATTATTCTACTAATCTCTGCTAGTTTGTCAAAAAGGTTTGTGCTTTGATAATTTTTCATGCCTATATCTTATAATCTGAGCAATTACTTCAAAGACAACAACATGCAATATGTTAACCATTGTCAATCTCCTATTACGTTGTTTTGAAATTCTGTATCATTGTTTTTGTTTTTTCATTTAAACCAAGAGAGTTGTCTGTGCTCACTGCCTCTAGTCCTTCCCATTTTCTTTGAAGGTGATTGCAGATTGGGTTTGGTTCACTCCTCTCACCAAAGCTTTCACTGTCCAAGTCATTGATGAACTCTCTCATGGTAAACCCAGTGGCCAGGTCCCACTCCTGTTCTTACTGGGTGGTCAGCGGCATTGTAGGGTTGCTTTACCACCCTCCTGTAAACACTATATCTGCTTCCAGGCAATAACACTCTTGGTTTTATCCCTAGCTTACTTGGTGTTCCTTCTTAGTCTCCTCTGAAAAAAATTCCTTCTCTTCTTTCTGTTAGTTTCTATTAGGGCTGGAGGAATCCAGGGATCAGCCCTGATCATGCTCTTTTTTTCCCCTATACTTTATTCAGTCTCTGGGGATATCTGTGAGTTGCATAAATACTGCCAATTCCCTAATACATATACATATGTACATATATGTATATCTATACACATATATCTCCAGAGCAGACCTTTGTTCTTAAAGTGAACATGCACATATTCAGTTGCCTTCTTGAGATCATCACTTTGCTTAATGCATGTTTCAAAATTAGCAAGTCTAAAGCTGTCTGGCAAGCTAGCAAATCTAGTTTAGACTGTCTCAACTAGACAAGTCAAAATTAGACTGTCTAGGCCATCAAGTCTAAAACCAAACTTCCTAGCCACCCCCCACAACAGATCTGTTGTTCTAGGTGCTTGGCCAAAAGTTTTGCAAGTCATTTCTGCTTCCTGTGTGTCATAAAATATCCAACACATCACTAGCTGGTTCTACCTTCAAAATTAGCCAGAACAGACGCACCTCCTTCTGCATCTACTCCTGCTATCCTGGTGCAAGGTGTCATTTCCTCTTGCCTGAATTACTGTAAAAGACTTCCATTTGGTTTCTCTATTTGTACATTTTCCTTCCTATAACCAATTTGTAATGCAGGAGTTACAATGATCCTTTCAATGTACATTAGGTAGATCTTTCAGATACCACTTTGGCCTAGCTGCCCAATTATCTCCACATTATTTTTGTCTCAGGCCATTGCATACTGATTCTTGGCCTATCTCTGTCTCTCTGTCTCACTTTCTCAGGGATTTCACCTTCCCCTTTGAGATCAGGAGGCCACTTGAAATTGTAGAGTTCTTTCTGCCTACCCAGCTGAGCAGCAGTCCCCCTCATCCTCCATGTACTTTTCAATGCTGGGGTGAAGGGCAGGTCCTTTGGGCTTTTGGAGATCACACAGTTAGAGGATGGGTACCATAGATCCATTGCAATATGCTTACATCCCTAAGTCTTTTGGATTTCTTCCTCTGTACATCCATAGAGTTCTGACATTCAGTTTGAAGGCACTGTGGCCCACCACTGAATGCAGTTTTCATTAGACTGGTTAAATCATTAGGACTCCTCCCAGTTGCTCATCTGAGCACATATGATCCATATGAGCACATATGATGTGTGTTTTTATCAAAGAACTCAATTTGACCTAAGACCATCATATCCATATTTCCCTGTTATGTCATAATACAGTGCCTCATGTTTGCTAAAAATTTTATACTAGCAATTAGCTATGTAGAGTTTCAATGTGCTGGATTTTTCCTTCCCAAGCCCTAAATCTGTTAGGATGTGATTTTAATTATAGTCCTAGAAGCAATAAGCCAGGAAGCATATGAAAAATTTGGTTTCTTCTTGCAGGGGAATCCAGGCTTATTGTCAGGATCTTGCAGAACTTCATTAGTCGAAAAGGCAGAACTGCATCTGCTGGCGCAGGAAGCTGAGTGAGCTTGAAGTAGTTACCGTGTTCCCATTCTAGTTTTCGACTGTCTGTGTTCCCATTCAATTCCCACTTTTCTTATTCAACACTAATTTTCATTTGAGAGATCTAGCTAGGCTTTGAACTTAACCAATATCCAATAATTCAGCATTTATAGGACCAAACTCTGGAGTTTTCTTTTAAGCTCTCTCAGTCAGATGGCTACCTGAAGTAAGAGGATCTCTCTTGGCAGTCATGAGAAATGCTTGGTGTCTTCTACTAAGCCTTAAGCCAATGTTTCCCAATTGGGGCACTGTCGAATTCAGACCAATTAATTCTATGTTGTCAGGGCCTGTCCTCTATATTGTGGAATGTTTAATGGCATTCCTGGTCTTTATTTACTAGACTCCAGTTCTCTTTTTTCTTTTTTAATTTTATTTTTAAAGTAGTAAAAATGCAACAGAACAAGACAGAACAAAGCCAACTGAGACAATACAGTGAAATCGGTGCAGAATTTCACAGTAGGATACTGGGATAGTAGTAATAGATACTATGGTATATCTCGTTAACTTCACAATAGTCCAGTCAATTAGGTATAGCAAAATCAAACCAAAACCAGATTATAAAGCCAATTGAGATTATTGAATAGAGCAAAAGAAACATAACAAAACAGTGAAAACAACCTTTGCCTTCAAACAGAAGATAGAAGGAAATCCCCCATATTTGCTATACTGCATATGGTCATCCTCCCAAGAGATGCTGAGACATCTATCCCCAGTAGATATGGAGCGGGGAACGGGAGGGGGAAGGGTGTCTGATTTTCAGCCCGCGTGCCAGTAGGCTCACAGGAGTCAATGGTTCTCTTCCTGGCCCATGCCGGGGGTGCTTACCAAGAGGGCAGGTGAATAAGCTGCCTGAGTCCCACCATGGCCATTCTGGGAGTGCTGGTTCTCTTCCTGGCCCTCACCGGGGGCACTTTCCAGGAGGGCAGAAGTATAAGCAGCCTGAGTCTCACCATAGCTGGATCTCAGGGTGCTGGGTCTCTCAGTCTATAGACATTCCCATGTGTGTGTGCGTCTCTCTCTCTCTCTCTCTCTCTCTCGCTCTCTCTCTCTCGCTCTCTCTCTGTAAATTACTCATGGCTGAGACCACTGCATTAATTGAAACAATAACAACTGAGGAGTCTTGCTCTTTTCCTCTGAGCTGTCAAGTTCTTTTGCTAAAAGCAGTTCACAGTGCTTGTGCTCCTTAGGTTCTGGCTACCTCTTATAACACTGGGAGATCACAGGGATAATGAAATGTTTCACCATTGTTGCATGTCATAAACTGTCTATATTACTAGCCATAATCTGTCTTTAATCCAACTAGGCCTGATAACCAATAAAAAATTCATACTTCTGGGGCTTGCTGCTTGAAATCCCTTAGAATATCTATCCCCACATTAAAATTCTAGCTGCTAACAAATCTAGACAATTGTAGCAAGAATGAAATGTATTCAAGATTTGTAGTAGCTCTCAGCATTCTCTAGGAAAGCCAGAGAGTCCTGTTTAGGGGCTACGCAGCCGGGAGTACTGCTGAAACTCCAGGACAAGGATGTCCTGGTGACCACTTTGTTGCTGTTGCTGCCAGGCACAAATGACGAAACTCATATTGATGAAGGTACCTTGTTACCAGGTGTTATGGTTTGTGTTTAAATGTCCCCCCAAATCTCATGTGGGCATGGCGGGGAGGCTTTCAAAGGTGGCTGAGTCTAATGTTTGTGATTGGTTGGTTGTCTAGCACTGGGATTAGTGGTGTGCATGCTGCACTCACCCTGGGATGGGGAGCTGGCATGCAACATAAGGCAGGAGGGAAGGAGGTGTGCATTTCACTCTTTCCCTTTTGCTCTTGTTGCTTGCGGCCACCATGAAAGGCTGCCTCTTAGCCGTGCCATCCTGCCTTGGAGCCAGCTGAGTTTGGACTGAAACCTCTGAAAACTGTAAGCTAAATAAACCTTTCCTTCATTTTGGGCATAAAGTATTTTGTTTCAGCAACGAGAGAAAAGTAACCAAGACAACAGAGATGGAACCAAGACCATGCTCTGGTGGGAAGCAAAGTTTGGGGCTTCCTCTTTCAAAAGGACAGGACATAAAATTTCTCAAACATAGAATGATTGCTTAAGTGGTAATAAACCAGCCAAAAACTTGAGCACTAGATCAGAGTATTAAAAAAAAAATTAAATCAGAACATAGATTTTAACCAACTTTCTGTTTTTCTCAAGTAGTGAACAGGTAACATTGAATTTCTTCAAATGAGGGTAAGGTCACAATTAATGCTTTTTGGAAGAAAAAGTACAAATTTCATTTTTCCATCATGCTAAAGGATACTGACTTTATTCATATTATTATTATTCTTACTGATGTTTTATGTTACATGTCATATAAAATGTCTTGCCATTAAAATTATTTTCATTTTAATGGAGAAGAAAATTGTAGATTCATAAAATCAAATTTAGTACAGAAGTTACAGATTAAGGTTTCTAGAATTCTAAAAATATGATAGGTAAAACACCTATCACAGACTCATGTGAAACCCTGGACACTTTTACTCGGAGGCTGAAGCTTCTACTCAGATGCAATGCATGGTGGAGCAGGTCTTTTCACCATCTGACAGAACTTCAGCATCCTTTCGAGGTATTCATCATCTGTTCTCTCTCAGGAACAGTAAGCACTTTAAGCGCACAGTACTAAGTATTGTGTCAGTCATCACGTCTTGTCTTCAGGAGAATGATGCTTTAGAACTCTGGTCCCACAATGAATCCAGCAGACAACAAGATTCCCACAAAGCTGACATCTAGGGACCTGCACCTGCCTCAGGGCAGCAAGTCCACTACAGTCCAGAATGCGATGACTTCTTGTATTTACATATGAATGCATTTGTTTTTCCAAGGCTAACTTTGTAGCACCTTACTGGCACCAAAGAGCCAAATGGCAACAGTTTGTCAGAATGCTCCTGGTTACCAGTTTCATGTGCAGCTGTAACTTTCTCTGATATGGCAGCTTTTCCATCAGGAGTCAAGCACTGCTTAACTTCACATTCATCAGCGTGGGTGCCTTTGGGAACCGAAGGTGCATGGCTCCCTCCACCATCTATAAGGAGCTTGTGATGGTCTTCACTCAGCAACAGTACGAGGGTTCCACCAACATGCAGCACTCTGGGACAAAAAAATGATTAATGGGAATGAATATTTCTTTCCTTTTAGATAACAAATAATCTTGTTTTACTTAAAATAGTAGTTTTTAATTTGAAATTTAATTCTATCTATTTAAATAGAAGGATTTTTAATAATTAGGTAGTGTCTCCCATAATGCATATTCATTATAGTAATTATGGAATCTCTAGTACAAATCTGCTTTAATTATCTATTTTTACTCTACTTAAAAGGCAAGCCTCAAAGTGATTCATAGTTATATTCTAAGTGATTCTAGAGAGAAAGTGACAGAAGCCTGCCAAATCAGCATATTCAAGTAGACAAGAGGCTGATGACAGAGAAAAGTCACCAGGGAAGAGTTAGGATATAACAAAGGGACAGGAAAGGGAAGATCAGCCAAAGCAGGGCAGACCTTGAGATGTCCGCTTTTTGAGAATTCATTTACTAAGCCACTCAACCACAGGGAGCACTTGTGTGGGACTGGAGAGGGAAGGTCCGATAGTCCTGAGGGTGCTAAGGTTTTACTGAGCAAAGGAGAACAAGTGACAAAGTAAACAAAAACAAGAATAAGAATTATAAAGACTCCTAAAGTTTCCAAGTTCAGGGCCTCAGATGTCATGCCGTAAATTCAGGTGTACAGATAAGGAAACAAAGTAACAGCTAGAGTTAAAGAGAAAGTTCTGGTAGCTTTTGCTCAGCTGATCCATTAGTGACCCAGAGGATTCTTCTCCAAAATGTATCACATGTTCACCTGTTTCATTCATACTTTGCTTGGCTGTGGCACCTCCTCCTGCCAGACCCGTCACGTCCATGCCTTGCACCATTTCTCCTCTCCATCCCCAGCTTCCGCACAGAAGACAGGTGGGAAACTGCTGACTCCGCAGTTGCTTCAGCGTATTTCAAATAAGCTCTAAGCTCCTTCCTAATGCACTCGGGACTCCCACATCATCTGACCTCACTACCTGTCCAGCCTCGTCACCGCCCGCTGCCCTCTGCCAGGACCCTTCCTTCAGCTGGGGCTGCTGGGCTTGTCCTTCACTCTGCATTCAACACTGATTCCCTTGTGTGTTTTCACATCATTGGAGTTGCAGAGTTAAAATGTTGTCTCCAGGAGAGGCCTGTCCTGGCTACCTACTAAGGTAGCCACCGCTTTTTTCTAACGCCTGACAACACACCCTCGTTTATTCCCTGCATTGTACCAATCACTATCTGCAGGGACCCTCTGCTCTTCCCCCTTAATGACCTGCCTTCTCACACGGATGGCCGGGCCTTCCCTGTCCCATCTGCTCCTGCATCTGCAGAACCTAAAGGAGTGCACGGGATATGCAACCACTGTCAGCGCCTCTGGAGAACGACCACTGAATCTCTCTGAAAGGCTAAGCTTGAGAAGTAGTGGGCAAAGTGTATCTATGGAGGAGAAAAATGAGAGGGACACCTGGCATGGGAAGACAAACTCTTTCACTGAGATAGGGAGGTGGTACAAGACAGATGTTTCCATGCAGTGAACACAACAAAATGTATCGGTATCTCTAAGTAAAGGAAAACGTATTTACAATAACAAATGAGATGTAACATCTATTCTTACTGTACAAGCAAAGCTAAAAACACTCTGTTACTCAGGAAGGCAAGATTATGAAAAAATGAGTGCTCTTGAAAAAGGAGACTGGTGTAACATTTTTGGGATAGTGCTTTGGCAATAAAGTGTCAACTTTGTATCAATAAAGTATAAACTGTGACCTGGCAATTTACTTCTAAGAAAATATCCTAAGAAGAAGAATGATAGCACCTAGTATTTACTAACCACTTATTATGGGCCAGGCACTGTTTTAGATGCTTTACTTGTCATTTAACTCCCAAACTGTTCCTTAAAGTACACTCATTAGCATTGTCATTTTGCAGCTGAAAAATTGAGACATTATGGTTTTAAGCAGTTTGGTCATACAATAAGTTTGAAAAACTGTGCACATCTGTTCAGGACATTGGTTTCTTTTTGGCACATTATTCTTCACTACAATAAAAAATTGAGATGTACATGTTCATCTGCATGTATTGGTTACATAACAGTACATTTATATAATACTATGGCAGTCACTGAAAATTATCCTGTGCAGTAAAACTGATCAAAGAGGCGACTATAACATATTATTGAGTGGGAAAAAGCAGGTTATAATATAGTAAATTTTGTACAATTGAAAATATGTATCTACTAATGTGTATATAGGTAAGACATCTAGTAATTTCATCAATTTATTTACTAAAATTTACTAAGTATATAATAATAAATGTAATAAATATAAATTTATTTACTAAAATTTTCTTCAAATAAAGGAGAAAATACTGCAGTAAAAGTCACTTTAAGTTCTGCGTTTCAAAGGCCAACATTTTTGGCCCAGTGATATAGCTCAGTGGCACAAGTGCCTGCCCGGCAAGTACAAGGTCGTGAGTTCAATTCCCAGTACCAAAGAAAAAAGATAAACATCTTTGATTAATATCCTCCTAGGTATCTTTCCGTGTACATATGCACATAATTTCTTGCTAAGAAAGCGATTCAGAAATTATAAAGTAATACTCTCCAAACTATCTTTCTCTTAACACTAGTGTATCGATGTTTTACAATACTGATATTACTGCTTGAAAAAAAAGTTTGTAGCCAATCTGTTGAAGAAACTGCATCAAACAACATGAAACACATTTCTGTTTTGCGTGTGAACCTGCAAGACCAGATGAAGGGTAGATGACACAAATTACCCTAAATCGTTGATCATGGAGCACAGTAGGTCTTGACCATCTTTAAACTCCTACAAATCCCCTGCTCCAGGCAATCTGGTACCCTCACTGTGCCCTGAACAGACCCTCAGGTCCACTCTTCACTCCAGAAACCAACATCTGGAGGTAGAAAAGAGGAAGTGGTCCCCCTTTTACAATTCTTTCTGAACTGCACTGAAATTGTGCTGCTTCTCTGCACTGAGCCTTCACGGCACACAGTGCTTTTTCCTCCAAGTTGAGCAGGCAGAACTCTGTTTCTGCTCACGTGATTCACACGGCCGTGTCTGACAGGGAAGCTCACACACTGTACTCCCCTCAACTGCTCCCAAGGCTCTGTACCCATGAAATGGTTCATCTTTAAACAAGCCAGCAGAGGAAATAACTGAGTTAAGAGAACAGAGCTCATAGCACCAAGGTAATTACTTGTCTAAGAATCTTTAATTCTGATTCCGTGACCTTGAAAAATACACAGAACAAAATGTCTCCACTATTATGAACAGGTTTACTGGCTTCTTGTTTTTTGTTTTTTATTTTTACTAACACAATTCCCATCTCTTTCAACTTCTAACTACACCCTTAAACTATCAGTAAACCATTGGGAGAAAAACTTATATTTACTTAGATACTTATATATTCCCTCACCTAGTTTTCAAAAAGATTTGAAGTGGTTTACACTTAAGAGCTCAGGTAAGTGCAAATATACAGTGTATTTTCTAGAAGTCCAGCATGGTTATAAGAACTTTAAATCAACTGAATCTTCTGAACAATGCTATGAGGTGGATGTTATGGTTTAAAGATTATGTACAAAGTGGGTGAGCAGTGTGGCTAGGAATGAAGGAGTATTAAAAGTGATAGAGCCGAGATAGCAAGCCAGGTGCCTGGCCCTGCAGTCTGTTCTCTCACCACTATAACATGCTGTACTGCCTATAAAACTCCTAACTACTAAGGGTGAAAAGTCAGGTCATAAAGATTGGAGACAGGCGGCAAAGAACACTGGCCATAGGAAAAGAAAGTCTCTTACATTCAAATACATTCACCTGGGACTGGTCCTACAAAGGTACTCTAACCTCTGGAATTCTTGACTATTTATTTTCCCAACTCAAGGTAAATATTTAAATTATTACCAGATGTGAGGGCAGGCAAATCTATCACTGTCTCAATTTCAATTACTTGTAGTAAAAAACCAAACCAGTTTAAAGAGTCAAGCTGGTACAATATACTAGTGCTCAACGTCTATCCACCTCCCTGGGACTTGTGGCAAGGTCAAAAATAGGCAGCACTAGACTTTAAGTTAGGTTGAGTTACTTTCTCTGGATGTTTCCAGGTTAAATGCAAGTCAATGCTCCTACATGTCAGTATCTCACTGTGAACTGGTTAATGGTAATGACATAGATTACCTAATTAAGCTGAAAGGCTGTGCTTATTAACTCTGGCAGCACAACAGAGTCACACTAGGAGTTTTTAAGCAATATTGATCTTACCCCTTACCAACAAAATACAGAGTCCTGATGGGAAGAGGTGGGGGAACTGCACAAGTATTTTGTAAAATGATCCAGTTTTAACATGAAGGCAGGCTGGCAAAAATCTTCACAAGGGAAGGGTAATTTGCACAGAAGGGGGATAAGATATTTGAATTACAGGTGCTGGCCAGAAGTAAGAAGTCCAGGTAATATAACAAAAGTTAGGTAACTGGGCAACAGGAAAAACGGATTTTATAGTACTTCAAAATGAAGTGTGGAGCGGCCAGCTCACAAGATGCATGGATAGTTCTTAGCTGGGCTTCAGACTTTGAGCTATGCTTCAATTTTCCTCACAGAATGTTATCCTTGACACTGAATTGTCTCCAGCCAATACATATGCTCCTTTAAAAACAACTGGTGACCAATATTTACATAATAGGCTCATAAGCTATTATCTGATTCTATCAAATGTCCTGCTGAGACAGTTTAACAGGAATTGATCTCTTTCCCCATCCACTCCCTCATATGTGCATTCTAGGCTTGATCTTTTATTATCTCAGATGATTAGAAAAATATATACTCAGGCTTCAGCGACTTTATCTCCCAAAGAACTACTTCCATTAAATTGTATTCTCTTTGGTCAACATTAAAAACCCAGAGATAAACTATATTCTGCATCTCTATTTCATGGTTAGTGACAGTCTCGGCCATTCTGAGTTACCTAATGTTCTGTAGGTAACGAATTCTGCCTAGGGTTAGCGGCTATGTGAACACGAGGAAGTTAATCTTTCCTCAGTTTATTTTCCATAAGGGAAGTGGAATTTTTGGGAGGATTAGCAGATGTGTAAGCTAACTAGACCTGTGACTAAAATACAATTGTTTTTCTGTATAGAATTTAAAAAGACACAGGATAATACTTATTCCACTATAAACTTCATATTTAAAACCTCAGGAAATTAACTTCAGGACTAATGTAGGAAATTACTGCAACGCAATCAGACCTTAAAAGCTGTAAAAGATTTTGGTTAAATGCTTGGTAGGTAAAAAATTTTGAAAAAAGAAAATTCAACAACTTACCTCTCCATTTCTTGTAGAATGGTTTTGATGTCTTTTCCTAGTTTAAACTTTTTCCCAAATGGAATGTCAGAAATAATAATATCAACACTTTCTGAAGGCAGTGGCAATTCTAAAATACAGAAACCAGAGAATCTTGTTATAGTAAGTTCAAATATGCACAACCTAGAGAGAAAATTAGGTTTATGGAATTTTCTTTGCACATTAAATAAAACAGCACTTCTTATATTGTTTCTAGGAAATTATAAGATCTGAAATGCTTTCAAAATCACTAAAGATAAATGGCATGATAACTATATACTGTCCTTTGAAAAATATTTTTTTCAGGTATGGCAAAATATGACATAAGTTGACAAAATTTTAAATTAACCAGAAAACTCAGTTCTCCAAATGTATTACTTGCATAGGGTTGCCAGATCCAGAAAGACATAAATCATCTAGAAAAACTTCTTACAAAGTTACATTCTGAAACTTTTATATGATTATATATAAAATTTTGCATTTTGATCTATTTGCTTTTAAGGGAGAAGATCCAAAGCTGTCTTTTATATTTTAAAGGGAACTCAAAAGGTGAAGAATGTCTACATTAGTCCTAAAACTAGTCAATAGTCAGCACAGTATTATCACTAAAAATTAAATATAGATATGATCATTAAATGTAAATTTTCTTCTCAGAAATTATCATAGGGTAGTAATACACCCACATTTTCTGGGTGTGCTATTTCCTATTATTTTATTTCTGACCCATCATCTAAATTAAGTTAGCCATTCATAAGGTAGATGTCTCAGTTTTCTGGAGACAGAGTCTCATTATATATCCCAGCCTGGCTTCAAATGTGGAATTATCCTGCCTCTATCACCTGCGTGTTGGGATTATAGGCACTAGCCACCCTACCTAGTTCAGTTTTCATTTTGAGTAGTAGCTAATGCTGTAAAATGCAACAAAGGCTGAATAATATTTAAAATACCATATTTAAATACCATATAAAATTTGTTGGCAGGAAATTTAAAAACAACAGCAAAAAAATCTTGTTAGCCGGGAAAGTCTGATGACCACTTGCTACTTCTTTCCTAATTTTAATCCTTACGGGAGATTAGCACAAGAGTACATTGTTACAAAAAAAGTAACAGGATATTCTTTTAAACCTAAGCAGGAATTCTTTTTATTATACACCCTTTTTTGTTTGTTTGTTTACAGTGCTGGGGACTGAACTCAGGGCCTCATGCATGCAAGCCAAGTGCTCCACCCCTGAGCTACAGCACAATGAAGTTAGGTTTCAACTTCATGCACTTGGTTTTAGGGTGCTGATGGAGGATGCACCCATTTAAGTACAACTGCTATGCTTTCTGCAAAATAACTAAGGATAATAAATAGACAATGAAGGAATTATAATTAACAAGTACTTTTTACCTGAAGGACCATAAAGTAATTTCTTTGATTTTTGTCCAATCCCAAATCTTTTTTTTGCCTTGTTACCCCCACACAAATTTGTTGTCTGCTTGTCCAGATATGGAAACATTTTTTCTTCGGTCTGTTAGCTATTTTGACCTGCAACTTTATGCTACAATTTTCAATACTTTATAATTTAGAGGCTGAAGGAATAAAATTCACATAAGTAGAAGGGTTAATCTTTTTTTTTTTAAGTTCCAAATGAAGCAGCGTCACTTTCCAAGTGAGTCAGAATACACTTCATGGTTCTCAAGGGCTGGGTCCCAGGCCTGCACGTGCCTCAGTATCGTCAGGAACTGGGAATCCACGTGTAGAAGCTATTAGGAGCTTCTGCAAAACACTGATTGCTGGCCCCACTTCTAGAATTTTTGATGCAGAAGTTCCTAAAATTGTGAGAACTTGACCTGTAAGAGCCTTTTAAATTATTAACTGCTTTGAATTTCCTACAAAGTTTGGTTGTAGTTAAAGAGATAAGATTCTAAAATAGAAACAGATCAAAACAAATAAATAAAAGCCATTCATTTTTTACATCTTTGCAGTCCTTCAAAATTTATTTTTAAATTTAAAAATATTTAGTTTTAAAATACTGGTTGTTTCAGCCTGCCTCCCTGCTAAGCAATAGTGAACCTACTGATGCACGGCCTAGAGTCAAACATCCCACTCCCCCCACCCTCCTTCTTCTGTGTCCCCCCCCCCCCCCCCCCCCCGCCGTTAGCAAATGGGAACCAGAAATGAGCATCTCCTGGGAGGTTGACACAGCAAATAAGGGGGACTTAATTTCTACCACCTCTTTGAAGGCAAATATTTTTATTACTGTTTTGCTCTCTTCTGATTAATGGCACTGCTCTATTCAATATTCTGTTTTGATAAGTTCTATAATGTTCTGTATTTCATCTCATTTTGATATATGTGATTGAAAGAACAACTATTATAAAGATAATGAAATATACTGTGATACCTATTACTGTTATCCTGGTAACCTGCTGTGAAGTTCTGTACCAATTTCACTGTACGATCTTAGCTGGCTTTATTCTGTCTTTTTCTGTTGTATTTTACCACTTTCAAAATAAAATAAAAAAAATACTGGTTGTTTAAGTATAATGTTCTATTTTTCCTGTCTTCCAATAGAACAATGGGTAAAAAAGTGTTTAAAGTTCAAATTTATGGTCCCAGGATTTCTTCCCATAGATTTGAAGGGCTGTTAAGATCTACTTTTGAAGACCTATAATGTCTCCAATGTTTTGGTTTTGTTGGTTTTATTCTTTACTGTTTTGTTCAAATTTCATTATAACTAATGATATAGGCAATTCAATTAGAGATAGCGGGAGGCATTATGGTAACCATTGTTGATCACCTTGTATTATGCTTTTACATTATCTAATACGTCTACCCTTTTGATTTGACTGACTCTGATCTGTTATGTCACATTTGGTTCTACTCTCTTCCAAAAAAGTAGTAAGAACTGTGGGAGCAACAAAACTCAAAATGTGTAATTGTCATTGTACAAAAGAGAGGAAAAGAAAGTGCTCTAAACGATATAACTGTATGTATATTTAAGTGTATAAGATAGATAATGATATTACTGAGTTTTGTTGGATCATTGAACAGAACTGTTTACAGTCTCACTGTTGGAATGTCCACTTTATAAGCTTTAATTTTGTGACTTGAACAATTATTTCTAAGATGACAAAATGTAATCCATTAACTAGTGATTTCCTACTGTTTATTTTTTTCTGTAAATCTGTATAACTTGTACCCTTTCTCTGCTTTTTTTTTCCTTTTTCTCCTTAAATAAAATTAAAAAAAAAGATATTCTTTTGTGCATGTATTTAAAACCAGACTATGTTTGAAGACTTTCTAATTTTCTTTTTGATACACATTCTTTGTATGTAGCCCAGGCCAGCCTTGAATCTGCTATGTAGCTAGGCTAGGCTTAAGCTTATGATCCTCTTACTTCAATCTCCTGCGTGCATTTTGGAATGGCTAGCTTTAATTGAAGGATTGAGTACTTTTACAGAACTGGGCACACCCTTCTACCTTATGCTTTCCGGTGTCCAGGTTCCTAATACTCACATCCTATACTTCTGGTAGTTGTTTAGAATTCATTCTCTATTTAAGATAAGTCAGCCCTCATCACCAATCATATTGCCTTGACTTTTTTCAGTCCTTGGTTGGCTCACCTCTTAAATGTTTAGACTTCATTAAAGATTCTGCCCTCCACCATGGGCTTAGTAGTAAACTGCTACATGAACTCTTCCATATTTGAAATTTCTGTATAAAAACTGCATTTTTGGTTGGGCATATTTCTGTCATAAACAATAACTGTGTAAATATAATCTCAAACTTTGTAAGTAAACACTATTCTATTGCCTATAACTCTTTCCATTGTGGACAAAATGAAATTTGAAGTTTATTGAATTAAAATAGCTTATTGAATTAAATCTCTTTCCCTTAGTTGCTGCTGGTAGATTTTTTTCTTTTCTTTTTCTCATTTAAATAAGTGCAGGAAGGGTACATATCTTTCATTGAAATTTTCATCTGTTAACAGTCTTAAACACACAAAATGTAGTTTGACAGATTGGGTCATCCTATAATTTATAGTCCAATCAAGAACACTGCTGAGAATGACAATGCTAGAGATAATACTGTGCATTTTTGAAATATTTTTCCTACAAACTGGCTTATTTTGGTAAAATATATACCTAAAACAATACCAGTTTCTCCTGTTTTTATTTTATTTTCATTTTTATAAGCATAGAAGTGCCAGGGGTACTTTATTTTTTCTTTTTGACAGCTTGTTCTGCAGATTCTTTGACCAATGAGCCGCACCATGAGGCCATAGGAAGATGAGTGAACACCCTGAGTTCTCCTCCTACTCCTCGGAGGTGCTCTGGCTTCCCATCACTTTAGACTTTCTGGATGGGTGTACCTGGTGCTGGCAGCTGGGCAGCCAATCTGAGTTCTCAGCAGACCAGTCTCCCTTCTTGGGTGTATAGATGCCCAGATTCATGCTTGTCTTTCAGAGCTGTACACAGCTTTGTTCTACCTGGTGACTCCACAGAGATGACCATGGGCTGAGCCCATGCTGCCCATAATTCTTCCAAGCTAAAGTGCCTGTCAGCTTGGAGTTCGTGTGACATCTCACTATGGAGCACCTTACTGGGGAATGGGAAGGTCCATGCAGAGGGCAAAGGGAATGTGACAGTTTTGCTTGGCAGGCCTCATGGCTGCAATCTCCAGGCCTCTGGCTGAGTTCTGCCAGTCCTGGTGGAAGTGGGGACTCTGTATTACGCATTCTTGGGTGGGTGGTCTAGCTGCCTCCTGCATGGGAGAAGGACCATGGACATTTTTTTCAAACCAAACTTTAAAAAAATTTTAACATTAAAAGTATAATTATCTGTGATGTGCATTCATATACTGACCAGCTTCTTAGATGTACAAGTCTCTAATCCCATGTCATTACTGGTATTTTTCTGAAGAATAGAGTATTTTTAAAAATAGGGACTTTACAAACTTTTTTAAAAACTGATCTTCAAAGTTCCCTTTGAATGTTTAAAAAAGTTCTGTTAACTATATATTTTTTTGAGAAAATACTTTTCCTACAGAACAGCAAATTCTGCTAAAAGAAGATACTCTTCGTTCTTCTCAATTCTATTTCATTT